CACAATTAACAAGGTTTTGAAATATTGGTGCTGGTTTCACGTCAAAATCAAAAAATATGAGCAGCCTGTCATGACTGTCAGTAGTCAGTACTGTCAAATTACTATGGTTCATCCTGAACATAAAAACTGGAAGGCTTAACGATTCGTTTTTTTTTTTGCACTAAGCACACAGTATTATTATTTTTTGTGACTTGTTTTGCGTAAAGTTTTTAGGAAAGTTTCTGTATACCCTTGCGTGATTCAGTAGGCTACACAGTCGAGCAAGTTCGCAAACATTCCAGGCCGCGCCTCGCACTGTGATCAAAATTAAATTGTAAATTCAGACCAGCCAAATATTTACTACGTTTCAAGTCAGCTAAGAATTAATTTAGATGTTAAGCAATGCTTGATGAAAATGTGCGCTGTGATGATGGCAACGACAACACCTAGAAAAAAATATTTTATTTTGATGAAATTTTATAAAGTTAGATATATAACCAAGCTGAAGTAAAAACGTTCTCGTATTTTTCTGTGAAAACATACAAAAAGTGCGCGAATTCCATATAGTGTTTGACAATTGTCAAAAATGGTGAAGGTTTCGGTTGAATACAAAAAGCAGCTTTAACTGAATAAAAACAGATCCTTTTATCGGTAGGCGTTAATATAATGTATTATAGCCGGTATTGTGAATGGGCATGTACATCAACAGTGGACATTTACCTGGACAGTTGTGAGGTGGTTTTCATTTATTTCAATCCACTTCTTGTTTCGTTAAGTGCTCTGTCCCAATCTAAGCTTTGTTAACAGAATTGTATTCCTAACCAGAATGTTAAAGGAATATTGGGACAAACCAAATTTTGTGATGAAAAGGGCCAATCAAAACCTCAAGTCTAAGTCTTATATACGTTACGTTTGTATCTGAAAGTCCTTAGTAAAAGCCTTTACTTTTGCGTATGAATTGTAAATTTTCGTCCTCATGTTAGTGCCATGAAATTCTAATGAAGAAACTTAATACGCCTCAAAAAACTATGAATAACAAATCAATTAAATCGCTTCCAAATCTTTTTATTCGATAAATACAGCAACAATGATATGATAGCAGTCATTTCCACAACTAGGTATTTGCTTTTCGCCAAGAATCTACTTTGATCACAACAACTATTGGTGTCCAACTTCCAAAATCACGAATTATACATTAGAATTGTTCGTATGCTGTACCGTTAAGAAATATTTACTTTCATTTCTTTGCGTTATTCAACTTACACCTGTTTATTAATAACTGAGCGATTCAGGTCTCCAAAGAGAAAAATAGCGACAAACAATGCAATGGAAACATAATATAGAATTGACTCCTTCTAATCTATTCGAATTCATTGGGTGAACCGGCTAGTAGGGATAATGGCAAGAACGTGGATAAATATTGCCATGATTAGAGTAGAGAGGATGTGAACGAAGATGCGACCTTCCTGCATTGAGGACTTGATACCAGTCACACGCAACATCCTGTATGCGCTGTAAAATTATCAGAGATGAAATGAGATACCGTGGCGTCATCGGTGAGAATTTGTTTCACATCTCCGCAGTACTTTGAAAAGACTAGTATCTCAAAGATGTAGCCGAATTATATACCGTATATCAATGTAGTTGACTATAGCGCCATCTGAGACACTAACCTATTCAAACTAGATTTCTAATTACTGCAGTCATTATAGCTGTGACAAATTCTCATAGATGACGCTCCGATATCTCAGTTCATCTAGGATAGTTTCTTGGACGCAGGAATATACGTTAAGCAGTGCTATTACATATCGTATACTGAACCCACAATACACTCTAATAATTAACGTACCCCCTAACATGGAGGCGTAGCATCTTTGAAACTACTGCTGGATAAACTTTGCGTCCATGCACACTTTTAATGTGCGTGTTGAGATCTACAACATACTAAAAAAATAATCTAGTCATTCCCCATAAGATCTTATAGTGGGTAGTGTTGTGCGCGTCATCATTTAAGTGACGTTTTGACATGAAGTTAGAATCTATTTCTGTGCCGCCTATGCTCTCAGGATATGCAAGGCAATCTCCCCTGGAAAAATAATCCAGCAGGATCCATAAACGGCCATCAAGTACAATTAGCGTATAGTGTACATACACAGAGCCACCTCAAGTAGTTTGGAACCGTTATCTCTTCTCTTGTATATTATGCTATTATAGTCGCTTTCATAAATAGGCGACAGGACACACAACGTACACTGAAATACGTTATTCTACAATCAGGCGGCCTTTATGGTGCACATTTTCCTTTCGACAATCTGAGACTCAGTTTTCAAAACATCTGCAATGACAGAAGTGGAGTATATTTAGTTTATTCCATAAAATATTCAATATCCTTGATAACTGAAAATATATCGTCAAGCAGACTGAGTCGAATAGTAAAATCAGATTATTCGAATACGAATCATGAGTACTTTATCTTAAATTGTATTCGAATTCTCTAGACATACGTCCAAAGAAAAATGTATTCATATACCACTATTTTAAATACCTGGATTCGTTTAAGTATGAATACTGTTTGAATATTCCTACTAAAACAAACAAATGCGCACTTTTAACTTGATTTTTATGTATGTACTTGTTATAAAAATATATAAAAAATTAAAATATCTGTCTTGTCTGTGCCATCCACAACCACCGCGAAAGTATTTCAACGCGCTTAAGTTGCGTAAGACGTAACGCAATATTCATAAGGATACCCATACAGGAGTCGAATACCCGAATTTTAAGGCAAAGTAGATATTCGAACATTGGGATTGAGAAACTGTGTTCAGAATCCATAATACCGAGTACTGACAAAAAAACTATTCAGTCAAAATACCAAATACCAAACACAAATGTATTCGAATAGTATTCAGAATAGTATCCAAAATACCGCGTATTCGTCTACTACCCAAGTCTAGCGTCAAGTACCTACAATTTTCCATGTAGTACAATTTCAAAGTGGCATCTAAAAGACGTATGCCTGCACTTCACTATCGGCGATGATCAACCAACATTTTTAGAAGAGCGGGAGGTAGCACCTTTTCTGAAAGGGAAGCAAATCCTAAAATAAAGATTAAACCGAATTCTCAGAGATGGCCATGCCCCCTGGTATTCCCCTGCGGGCGCCCATGTCGATTACCCTTGCAAGGCAAACATTGTTCACTTCCGACTATGTTCAATTGATAAACGAATTTATTCATATTGACCTTTTCCCACACCAAATCATTTGAAAGAGAATCTCAGCATTGCTGCTTGTAATAATAATTGTTCCAAGTAAGCATCTAAAATTAATATATATATATATTATAATATGGGTGTGATACCAAAGAAACTCTTCACATCTCTTCAGGAGCTGGACATACAACCACATCACTATCAACATGGGAGGCAGAATGGCAAAATGTCGTCGTTAGCAGTAGTTTTATAAATATTTGCGATACGATCATGAAATTTTAAAGAAATTGTTCTAGGTATATTCAGATAATAAGCTGTATCGGAGAGCTCCGAGAACTTTTCTTTTCATATAAAAATATATATTTTTTTAAACACTACCGTTGGCCTTATTAGGAACTCAGGGATCCAAATAAGGTCATGATCTGATTTTTAATAAAGCTACGCTCAAAATATAAATCAAGTCTGTTGAATAAACGAAGTTATATTTCTAATTAACAACAATAAATATTCTTAAATCCAGATGGATTTTAAGTAAAAAAAAACTTGTTTTGGCCTTCGCATTGATGACAAACAAATGATACCTTATCGCCTCTACACAAGCCTACACATTCCTCATGGACATATCTTAAGCATATTGCATACAGACGCATGTTGCGTATTTCATCATTATCGCATCTGAAACAGTCCCAGTTTTCGTCTTTATTCTTCTGGGAACCACATAACATGGCCTTATTACGCACATCTTAAACACACCTTAAATATAAAATTTACAAAATTGAATACATTCAAAACCTGGCAACAGCTAATAACTACCTGCATATATACTTACCTGTTTGAATTAACAAGAGATTCCGCAAAAAGAAGCCGAGCAAAAACGGAGACAAATTTAAAGCAGAAATTTTATAAGGCACATATTGAAAACCGACGCTGTGCTACTGCACCATCTAGAGCCGTTCTACAGCTGCTGATTTTATGGCTGCTAATGAAATTGTAGAACTTCAGAAATCTTTAATTTTAAATGTTAATTGTTTCTGTAAAACCGACGCATGACCTTATTTGTTACAGGTACCTTATTGAAGGGATTTAATTGAAATTTGGCATGAATGTACTAGAGTACATTTTTTTTTCAGTGCCTAAGAAAGGACAAAAAATTGAATCCAGAAAACATAACAAAAGGCGTAGGGGCAGTTAAATGAAATGGAACATTTGAAGGCATCAAAGTGCTTCAGCGTTCCAAAGGCGACTCTCGAACTACATGTATACTACAAACGTGGCAAATCGTTCGAACAACAGCGCACGCTAGGGATGGATCGAAAACCATCTTTATCAACTGAAATGGAAGAAGACTTGGTACAGTACTGTTTGGAAATGGACAGAAGATAATATGGTCTAAGACTTGCAGACATACCAGCTTGCTATAATAAATAACACTTTCCATCTCTTCTCAAAAAGAGGCGGTAATGCCAGTTGAAAACGGATCCCAAATTTTTTGAGACGTCATCCCAATCTATCTTTGAGAAAACTGCAGGGGATTCCAAAAAATATAACAAAAAAAAAGATTTTACCCCTGAAAATACCAACAGTTTCTTTAATATCCACCAGTTATGGAGAACATGCATTTTAACCCAGTGAGAGTTTATAATGTTGACGAAACTGGCATCACCACAGTACAATCGAAGATTGCTAGAGCCATTACCCTGAAAGCAAAAAAAACAAGTAGGACTGCTGCAGAAAGAGGAGCACTAGTAACCGTAGTTACATACATGGATGCTGCCGGTAGATTTGTTCTTCCGTTGTTTTATTTCCAGGCACAAATATGAAGGCCGAGCAATTATATTAGACGGGGCTTCAGCTGGGTCAGTCGCTGAGTGCTCAATTAGCTTCAGATGGTCACATGAAGATTGTGCTGGTAGTGATAAGAAAAAGCTTACGTGTGCGATTTTTGTTTGTAAAAATAGGTTTCTAATATTGAATAGGATATCCAATTTTGAGAACTTTTTTGTTTTATTTAAGACTGCCATTTTTTACCTGTGCCTATTTTGTATGCCATTTATGGGTAAAATAAATGAAGGGTACAGGGGAAAGAAGATGAATATCACAGCCGTTGTATGAAAAAAAGGTGAACGTCCACTGACCGTCTCCGAAACTAGTAGCTCCTACAATTTACCATACACCAATCTACGATGAAAGATTTAAACGTTAAATAATCATTTTTAAGCAGCTACCATTAATTTCGTTTTGTTTGTTCTATATTCTTTTGAATAAAGCTTTTTCTGGTACATTGTTTATTTCTTGTCCCAATTAAAGAAATAATGTGTTTGACCTATTGAGGTTGGAACACACTTTTCTCATGGTCTAGGCCCTGTGTAATAAATTCCCTGTTAAGGTTATTATCTCAAAAAAATTGAATTCAGGCATGGATGCTAACACATAAAAAATGTTAAATAACATAAGGTCAATCTCAAAATACAAAACTAAAAAGGATTCACTCTACCTACCTCAAATTTTGATTTGAGATACTTTCGTTCAATTTTGTCTATTTATTTACCATAATATGCTCTTTGTTATACTATTTCACATAATAATTAAATAATTATATTGTTAACGAACAAATTCTAGAAGTAACTAGAATAGAAATCGACCAGTGGTCCACTGAAAATGAATCCTCCATTTGGCCCGATTGTTAAAAAAAAGTTGAGCAGCCTTGCCTTAAGACGCATAGAAGTGTCGCTCTCCGGATCATTCAGTCATTCTCAAGACAAAAAGCACGCGTCGTCCATCATTCTCATCTCCAAGTAGCAAGTACGAGGATAAGTTTGTGGTGAAATATGGAACATATCGAATTGCCTAAAATGGATGCATTCAAAAACCTATTTGTTAAATATGTAACTTTCTAAAAGTTATTCTACTCCCTCGTTTACAAAAGTCTTGCACGCCTCTGACATATGCAAAAGGTACCCATATATTTCTTCTGCAACAAACGCAGAGAACATCCTTTACGTTGAGTTCGTTCAAATTAGGAAGTTTGTAACTGTATTCGAGACGCAGTGTAGATACAATGTTCGTTTACATATACGTATAAATATGGGTAACACTAATAAAGATGCAGCCGTCTCCTTTTCACTGGCTACGCCTTTGAACTTCCCAGCCGTAATGTAGGAAATGTAGTAGTACCTTCTTTAGTACGTTTGTCCGTTTGATAGATTCATTTGGGTCAGAAAATAAAAGGATGTCTATTAATACTATTGACAGACGCACAGATCTATACGATATTCACTTCAGCAGGTTTGTTGGGTCGCTGATTTCAGAGACGGGATTATGCTGTCTGTATGGGGTCATCTGAAGGTCACTTCAAGGACATATCAAAGACACTTTCAAAAGAAGCCGAACAATTGAGCTCAACCTCATGTCATTTAGGTTTTCAGATTCCGAATAAAAGATCAATTAGTAACTCGAAGGACATTTGAACGTCAATTCAAAGACACTTCAAAGGTAAATTCAAAATAAGCTCAGCATTTCGAAGTCCAGATCAGCCATCAGCTTGTTTCTAGGAAGGCATTTCAATTTCATTTTGAAAGGCCCCTCGAATGATAATTTCAAGTATAGTTGAATAATCGATGCATGAACTAACTATATTTTATCTAACTCTGTACAGCATGATCCACAAATACGATTAGGTAATACCAGTCTGGGATTTTGTGCAAAGAGCGTAAACTGAAATCAATAATTCGTTGTTCGTCTAATTTGGGATGATGATTCGAAGTATGGCTGCCAAAAAAATCTAGCATCACGAAGTACTATTTCAGCATCTCAAATTTAACTCAACAAAAACCTGACATCAGATTATGAAACAAATCTCTTATACTCCCATTCATAACGTTTCAGGAGCTCCTGATCATTTTCTGAAAAATTTGTGATTGAGGGGGTGGGAACGGGTATACATCAATTTTTTTGGCGTTATTATATTTATACGTTTAGTCTTTGCACCCATTAATACATCTCCTCACAACATAGATTTCTCCATACATTTCACGTAGCGTTCCAGTCACGGTCGAACGCCAACATTTATGCACAAAGTCCTGCCGCGCAGGCAGAAGCCTAAATGCCCGCTGCTATGATGATCTCAAAGAAATTTTGTTAATTCGATTTTCGAACTGCCTAAGGTTAGTAGAACTGGGAAACGTCTTTTTGTAGATTGTTCCACAATCTCGACACCCTCGGGACAAAGGAGCGGTTGTATGGGCCAGTTCTGGATGTACGAAGTTCGACACGGTCAGGATGGGAGGCCAAAGTCAGGCGGGGCTGTCTGGAAGGCACATCGCGCGGCAGCATCTTGGAAGAGAGCTCTGAGGAGCAGAGCCCGTTGGTGTAGCGGTAGAAGAGAGCTAGATCGCCGACGGCCCTCCGGTGCGAAAGAGTCCCGAGACTGTCTTTTAGAGAAGACTCATAGATCAGTCGGAAAGCCCTCCTCTGGACAGCATCGAGCATAAATAATAATGTAGTCGGGGCAGCAGCACCCCAAACAGCTGCCGCTATTAACATGTGTTATTCGTGCCACATCAGGTTCTCGGTGGTCTGGACTCCGACCAGCCGAAATGAATAGGTCTTTGGCAGAACTCAGTCATCCATCGAAACCGGATGAGCGCTAGGACGCTTTTTATTCATCAAGGTACAATACTGTGTTTTGGAAACATTAAACTGTACAAGATTGTTGCGTCCCCAAGCAGCAATGACCTCCAGGTTTCTCATCAGAGAGGAGGTCGTCGCCAGTCTTCTTTTTTCCAGCTCAGCGGCAGAGATCGGCTTGTCACTCTGAATTCCTGCGTGTAGAGTGCTGTCATCAGCGAAGCTGATGTGGATTGGATTGATCGTGGAGGAAAGGAGGTCGTTGATATGTAAAAGGAACAGTGTCGGATCCAAGACCGATCTCTGGGGAACACCCGCGTTGACGTCGTGGGATGAAGAGGAGAACCCGTCAATCACGACGGATATCTTGCGGCCAGAGAGAAAGTCAGACACTCATCTGCAAAGCCATACGATGGAAGTTTGCATAAGGGGGCAGCGTGCCACAGCTGATCGAACGCTTTCGTGATATCACGAGCAACTGAAAAAGTTTGTACTTACTAGAAATGCTTAAAAAGCATGTCTCTTAGTTAGAAAGATGATCTGTATATGGGCTTAAGGGAATTTGGAATGGCAAGTAAATTTTCGAAGCATTTCAATTAAGCATGTGCCAGTATAGAAAATTCTACGTGGAGCTTAGTATACACGTACTATTTGTGGTCATACTACATTATGAATTTTTAGCAAAATGTGGGACAAGTAAACACGAATCAAATTGACATATTGTTATTGTAGTTTTCGTGAACGGTGCTGTTAGTCTGTTGTCGCTTTTCCTTCCTCCAATCCAATCCACTCCTTATACCTTTTCAGGTTGCCAAGATGACAACAATAAGAGTGAATTTGAGTCACAGTGTAAACAAATACACTTAATTTTTGTTTTGATTGGCGGGCATAGAATTTAATAATTTCTACAGTTTTCAGATTTCCACCCGAATGTGGGATGTGTGCCAACCGTAATGCATGAGCGGCAGTGCTAAGATGGCAGCGTTGCAAGGAAAGTGTAGAGTCAACCTACTTGATGCCATTTTTTTTTAGATAATTATGCTGCTAAACAAGAACATTGACTTCCTTGGCGCACCACCACCTCCATCCTTCCAGGAACCTCAGGGGGATCCTCAGGCCGAATACTTCAAAAAAATGCCGTCAAGTAGGTTTACTCTGCACTTTCCATACAACTTTGTCATCAGTTCATAAAGTTCGATCCAAGTTACTCCGTTTGAGCTATACCATAACTCTCTAAAACTGTAATGACTCATCGATGTTCACGTGAACATCTCTAAGCCATCGGTAGTCGGGTTATGAGTTTTTAATGTGGGTGAACCTGATTTCTTTTATATGTTTAATAAAAAAGGAAATGGTTTGAAAGACGTTATAGATCAGAAATTTGGAGATTACCTTTGGCAGTTTTTTTTTCTGATTATCCATGAGCTAATTGAGTCTACCTCTCTTCATTCGTCATCGCTTCCACTCCCATCTGAAGGTTGTCGCTATCGCTTTCTCCGCCAAGGCTGACTATAACTGGCGTCATGATGGTGTCGATGTTGTGGTCAAGCTGCCACATTTTTGTTTCTTCCTTCACAACATGACGGACACCATCCTGCTACTATTCAGATGTTATACTAGTTGTGTGGAATTCTCTAGCAAAGCCTTGACGTCTAGTAATTTAAAAGTTGTGTCATGGCGCGCAATAAACCCTTCACTTGAGCCCAGATGAGCTCTATTGGGTTCAGTTCACAATGGTAGGGCGGAAAACGCAGCACAGTGACACCACAATGATGGGCTATCTCATCAATCACGTAATTAATGTCCGCACTTTTGTGATGTTTAATTGTTTCGTACAGTTAAATTTTCACACATGAATCATCAAACGTAATGCCCTTTCTCACTTTTTCGAGACCCCATATTTGGTACACGTTCGGCTCTACTGTGGTAGGGTAGGAAGTCTGGCCTGTGTAAGCATCGTAGTATATCAACACCAATAAATTATTATTATTAAACAGTCCTATATACAGGGTGTTCCTTAATGATATGCGAATATTTAAGGGTGTAAATCTACATGAAAAATTAATGTTAGTTTGCTTTATAAAATATGGTCCAAAAATGTTTCCTTACAAAAACTGGGGGTGTTGAAGTTTTAGGAAAAAAAATGGAAATTAATTAATATTTTCAGAAACGCTTCAGATATTACACTGATATTTAGTACGTAGGGAAAGTTAATAAAGTTGCATATTTTTCAATGCAAAAATAATTTTTAGCTTCAACAGTGACGTGCGGTTTTTTGCCAAATAAAAATTATTTTTGAATTCCCCGTTCAATTTAAAACAAATGATCTCTCTTGATTTGTTTTTCTTCGATGCGCCATTTTTGAGTAGAAAAATAAAAACCGTTCTATTGTCTAACTTGCAAAATTATTAATTTAATTGGAAAAATTAAACACATTAGGGGTAATGAACAACAACTGACAACATAAACATAACATTAAAACCAACGAAATGATTACAACAATTGTTGAAAATGGTCCTCTTCACTTAGTATGCATGCTTCTGCCCTCCTCATGGAATTGCGCACTCGTTGAAATAACCCTGGAGTGTTTTTTATTATATCACAAGCTGCAACTATTCTTTCTCTTAATTCCTCTACAGAGTTAATGGGACTTGTGTACAATAGTGTCTTGAGATAGCACCACCAAAAAAGAAATCTAAACTGTTGAGATCTGGGGACCTTGGTGGCCCTTCTTGCGGCTAATCCAACGATTTGGATAAAGAGTTTGTAAATAATTAACCGCTATACTGAAATGCGCTGGTGCACCATCATCCATATACCACATATTGTTTCTTATTACTAACGGAACATCATCAAGCAGCAAAGGCAACTGTTGAAGAAAATTGAGGTAAGTCTGTCCGTCAGGTCGTCCCGGCAAGAAGAATGGGTCAATAAAGTGGTTGCCAATAATTCTGCCAATACGTTAACCGAAAATTGGTATTGGAAAAGGGTTTCGGTTACGGCATAGGGTTTTTTTCTGCCCACAAATGATTATTGTGAAAATTCTGAATGGCATTTCGTGAACAGAATCATTGATTCAAATTGCAGATTTTGTCTAATTTTTTGAAGATACCACAAAAGGTCACACGCCTTGTAAAATCAATGGGAAGTAATGCCTGTATTCTTAAAATATGGTAAGGGTACAACAAAAACTCCACTAAAATTCTCCAAACAATTTGTTGGCAAATATTGAAGTGACTAGCGATCTTCCTCGTACTCGTTTCAGGATGTTCTTCGACTTCGTGCAGCACTGCTTCCTCAATTTCAGATGTTCTCCAACTTAGAGGTCTACCTTCAGATGTTCCTTTTCGGACAGAACCGGTTGGTTTCATCAAGACGACGATGAATACTAGAAAAGGTTCGACTATCTGGCAAAGCACGATCGGGATATCTCTGGAGATGAATCCGTCTTGCTTGCTCACCAATACCGTCGGCAAGGCCATATGCGTAATGCATTTCCGCCATTTCTGCATTTGAATAATTCACCATTATTGTAAAAACTAAATAATGAAAAAGATGTCACAGCGAACAGATTTGAATAACAGAGACTTGTCAGATGTCAAAAGCCAGTTACATATTCCAGAGCAAGTAGATATTTATTGCTAACTTGCATTCTTCTATTATTACATTAATTTTCTCGGATAATAGAACGGTTTTTATTTTTTTACTCAAAAATGGCGCATCGAAGGAAAACAATTCAAGAGAGATCGTTTGTTTTAAATTGAACCGGGAATTCAAAAATAATGTTTATTTGGCAAAAAACCATTGGCGTACCAAGCTCAGTTATTTTTTCATTGAAAAATATGCAACTTTATTAACTTTCACTACGTACTAAATATCAGTGAAATATCTGAAGCGGTTCTGATAATATTAATTTTTTTTCCTAAAACTTCAACACCCCGAGATTTTGTAAGGAAACATTTTTAGACCATAGTTTATAAAGCACAAACATTAATTTTTCACGTAGATTCACACCCTTAAATATTCGCATATCATCAAGGATCACCCTGTATTATTAGTACATACTCCATAGTCCCCATCCATTTGACAACTCTAGCATAAGTTTCTTCCCTGCCTCAAGTATTGACCATCTGACAACGCTGCTGGGCAGAACTTTCCAAGTTATAGGTGGTACAAAGATTAGCGAACAGGCCGACCGCCAGACAGACAAACACACACGACGACGAAAATGGATGACGGTTTTTCGTGATGTGCATGCGACATTCAAAAAACAAAACCTAGCGATTACAATACTTCTTCGCCAATAGGCGTGGAAAGTAAAAATGATAAAAATTAATGTATTGAAAGAACGAGTTAAAAATACAACATTAAAAATTGAAGCTTTTCTCTGGTCATCTCATTGATATGAATGAAAATGCTCCATTGCTGGAAACTGAAAAGTTATGAACAAGAGGAATATCACTGCATTGTAATGGTAAAACATCCCAAAATAATGACAAAAATGAACATTTCTGGAAAATATGAATAAGCATCAGGTATGAGTAAAAATGAGTCTGTGGACACCGTGAAGTACTTACCCTGTTACAGCCAGTGTTCCTGCAGGACCCAAAACTTTTTTTTCATGCAATTTCCATCTGTCCGTAAGCCACTCAGGTTACATTTTATGTGTACCTTGCTTAATTTTCTATACGAAACTTGCTTAAAAATCCGTTTTACGGAAAAATGCTTCATTACATTTTCTCTGAGAAGTAACAGGGGTACACAAAAAGCTCAAGTAGCACAATGTATTTTAAAGTAACCCATCAAATAAATGTATAATTAAATTTGTAAGACGAAAAAATTGTAGATGCAAAAATGCCATTTCCTCTAGAAAAATGTGTTTTTTTATTGGGAGATGATAAATATGCTAGTGGCTCTATATTGCTGAAAACCCCAAATGAATAACAAAAATGAGCATTTTATGGTAAGCTTTAAAAAATAAAAAAAGAAATGGATCAGGGTTTACTAAATGTAAGGTAACTATTTTTTTTTTCGTAGTTCAGAACAGAAAAATGCAGGTAAGTTAGAATAAGTGCTGTTCAAAATACCAGGGTTTTATCTGTAGCTATTGGTTGAGGAGTGATTCAAAGAAACATTGTATCAACTTAGAAAAATTTTATTTTTATAGACATACTTAAAACTTCTTGAAACTCTTCTTTGAACTACTTCCCTTGGTGACCTTTAAGACGTTGAACCTCACTGTCTTTGATAATGGCCTGCATTCTCCAATGGTCACAACATCTCCAATTTCAACATCCCTGGAAGAAAAACACCTTTTATATCCCTCTGTGAATAACATATGTCATCAATGGTTGGATATTTTCAATTGTCAGATTTAATATTTGAAATAATCATGAGCGATTTTTATAAATCTCTCATACCGCCGGTGAAAGCATGTATCATCATATTGAATGAAGTTTTTAATTTTCATTTTATTCAAATCATTTGCTAGTATTACTCGTAAAGTTTTTTAACATTCTTTAAAAAGATGATGTGCTCTTATAAATTTCGACGTGCTCCTTCCGAATGTTCACTTTGTTACCTCGTATTTTTGCCGATGTGGCAAAAATAGCTACCCGGGTATTCTGACCACAATTAAGCTAGATAAAATATCCTGGGATGCATGTACAGAGTGTCCAGATATAAACTGCCACTCCAGCATTTAATATAACCTTCCAGAAGAGAAAGTTGAACATTAAAGTTATAGGGTTTTTCAAAGTACATTTTGTTTGTACACCGGGTATCACAGAAAAGTGCTTTAGAGTAGAGTTGCATTTTTTACATGGAAACACCCTGTATATTATCAGGTAAAATTATTATTCATATTTATCCAAATCAAAATATATATGGTTTATTATAGTTATTTTCATTAGTTTGGCCAAAAACAGTTACTCATGTGTATCTGAGTTAACCAGTTTGCATCTAGCCACCTATGCAATCTGATACAGGGCCGGAATACATATGATTAAATGATACATAAACGTCAAGTTTAACAAACCATATATATATTGAGAATCAGAAAAGACTATTATTTTCACAGAAAATATATACTTTATTGCAAAGTTTATTCGATAGCACTTTTCTGGGCACCTAGGGTTGTATCATCAGTCGTTCCTACAATAAATAATTGTAGGACGCCTTTATGAGCTCCTTGATTTTCAAAGGTTTCTACTGTTCCAAAGCGCTCTATTTTAAGGTTATGATACAAATATATATTCGAATCAAATTGTTCATGCTTTTGATTTAGATCATCTGTTATATCAGCCTGAAATTTCTGACGATACAAAAAGGAAAAGAACAGTAGAAATTTAGAAATACCACAGCCTTTCTGAAGGAGAGAAAAGACTTTGTAAATCAAGGAGGCCATAAAGGCGTCCTACAATTATTGTAGGAACCGACTGATAATATACTAAGTGACATATAAATCCGAACACCCAGTTTAAATGGTTTTATTTTAATAAAATTTTGTATAAGTACTTAATGAAGCATAATAAGTAAATGATAAAAATTCCAAAATGATTGCACTGCTTTAAAGCCCTTTGACCTTTAATAATGTGTGGATGCACCCTGATGTGCTACGCATTCTCCAACGCGCCTAGGCATGCTTCTGATCAGGTGGTCAATGTCCTCCTGTGGTATCTCATTCCAGGCAACCACCAACTCCTCTCGAAGTGCTTCTAGAGTCTGAGTCTGAGCAATCTCCTACCCATTATATCCCACACGTGCTCAATTGGGGATAAGTCGGGAGATCTTGGTGTGGCCATGGTAACAATGTGACATCATTATGTTGAAAGAAGTCTATTGTGACTCTTGCAACATGTGGTCGGGCATTATCTTGTTGGAAAGTTGGATCTGCCAGGGTGTCAAGATAGGGTAAAAGATGGGGTTCTAGAACTTCGTGGATATAACGCTGCGCGTTCATGTTACCTCTGATGAAGATTAAAGGTGACCTGGAACCATAAGCTATAGCACCCCAAACCATAACACCAACAGTGTGATGAACATGTCTTTCAACAAAAAACTGTGGATTCCTCCTTTCACCACGTCGCCTTCTAACCCTCGCACGACCATCGTGCATGCCTAAACAAAATCGAGACTCGTCACTAAAGACAATACTGTTCCATTCCTGATCCCAGAGTGACCGTTGTCTGCACCACTCAAGGCGATTACGTCGGTGTTCTCGAGTTAAAGGGAGGACCCAGTGTGGCCGGTATGAAAACAAGCCAAAACTTCTCATTCGTCGGTAAACACTTCGCATGCCAATAGGTCTTCCGTGTTCTGCAAACCATTCATTTGCAATGGACCTGGTAGTGGAGAAACGGTCCCTCAAGGACAATAATCTTAGGCGGCGATCTTCACGGTCTGTTGTTCTACGGCGGCGTCCAGTGCCCCTTGCTCTTTGCGTACGGCCTTCTCGAAGCCATGCCTGACAACACCTAACCAGTGTCTACACTTCTTTGCACTCTAACTGCAATTGCCCGAAAAGAAAGTCCAGCTTCCCGAAGTCCCACTATACGGCCCCTATCAAACTCACTAAGTTGACGAAATCGTACAGGTCTCCGTACTCTAGGCATCGTAACCGATCGTAAAGGATGTCAAGAACCAAAATCCGCCAATGTTGATTCTTTACTGCGGCTGAAATATTCAGTTTTAGAGCGTTAGTGAATTAAAAAAAAGCAGTATAAAAACCGGAATGTCCAACTGATAAGGCTGAAAATTTTTTCACTTGTTATTTACAGTAAGATAAATACATTCACCAACTTTTATTAAAATAAAACCATTTAAACTGGGTGTTCGGATTTATATGTCACTTAGTATATGTCCCTAAGGTAAAACTGTCATCTTTTTGTTATAACATTAAAAGCTGTTTTCAAAACGTATGTCAATTATTGAGATATTCAAATGGAGGATGAAGCTATACTCAAAATTACTTATTTCTCAATCATTCTAAAATAAAAAGTTCAGTTGGCAAACTGACACAATAAAATTGACAAAATATAGTTTGGAATGACATTAGTATTTATCTAGATGTTTTTTGCTTTCCCTAATTGCCTCTGAAGATAAATGCTACTTCTCAATAAGGCATTGCAGTCTTCAATGGTAATTTATTAGGCGATATTAGCGATAAAAAAAATATCAAGAGAAAAACAATTAAACATATTTGAAGTCAATGGCTTTATATCAACGAGTGGAAAGTACTGATTCGATCTAATTATTTCCTGTATTTTATGATTCTGACAGCTTAGAAGAAAAATAGATTCTGCCTATAATATACTAACCTGAAGCAAGGTGATAAATGTACTGACATATTCCTATGTCTCTTCTCAAACCGATTATATTTCCTGATATAATGCAAGTAGTCGCGTCGGATGACGATGGTACGTTGCATCTTCATCTTCTGTACAACGCCGGTTAGGATACGACCTCTGATTGAAACGTTGCCAGTGAAAGGGCATTTCTTGTCAATGTATGAACCCTCTATGGCCTGTACAGAAATATCCATAAAAAATTGTTGCATTTTTGGCATAGTTTAGTATATATAAACACTTGATTCTGCAGGTTATCACATACCAGCTATACAGGGTGTTCCATACTTAAATGGACATAGTGAAATCGTGGGTAGGTTGAACCGAGTCCCTTTCATATCTGAAAATTAAAAAGTTCTAAATCCAGTTTTTACGGATGATATATCCAACCACGTCAAACCTTTAATTCATCACATTAGACCCGCTTTTAATGAAATTTTGCACAATAGTTACCCAAGACTACCGTAAAACTAGACGGAAGTTTCAAACATTTCAATATAAAGGTGTTGATTTTGACAATAAAAAGTGAAAAAAATCCGGAGTCCGGCCGTGGATCTCTTAACCGTGGGTCTAGTTTCCCGTTACTCCTAGCTAACAGTCAGTCAGTTCAACAAATTCAATGTAATATTAATGATTTGGCGTGTTTAGATAAATCACCCGTAAGAACTAAATTCAGAACTTTTTTATTTTCAGTACAGAACATCCTGTATATAGGGCTTTACAGAATGTCACAAAAATTTAACGGCAGATTCAGCACATAGAGATACTAAAAAATGGTTCTAGACACTCCTTGCTTCTATGAATCGGGGGGTTTAAAACTTATCCGTGATTAATAGGAAAAAGTTGACCATTGGGTTTAGCAAAGACTGGTGTCCTTTTCTTGAAGCCGTTTAGGTATTTTCGTCGCTTATTTACTATTTTTCAATCATTTTGTCGCTAATAATTATAAGAAAATCACAATTTAAATGTTGAATGTGGTGTCCTAGGGTAAATTTTAAATAGAAAAAACATTCCTGCAGATGATTTTTTGCTAAACACAGAGCCCAGCTGGGGCCAAGCCCCGCCGATTCAAATACTTTAAAAACAAATTTATACATGTTAATGTCGTAATTTCGTAATACATTTGCATGTATCCAAACTCATCCCAATATGTCAGTTTGTTTTTAAGAAATGTGAGGTGCACTATCAAAGACAGATAAGTTTAAGCACCCCTAACATGCTGAATCTGCTGTATCATTTTCCTAACGATATTTTGTAAAAGTCCTGTTATGCCCTGCTATAGCACGAGAGGATGATGGAACAGACATTTTAGGGAATTTTCCGCCCGCCAGTGGACACTGATAGAAAAATCACCCTCAATACCATAAGCACCTGTTGGTCATCAGTTCACCACAGCAGAAAATTTAAATCTAGCAGAACTTCCATACTTCAAAGATGACATTGATATTCTTGTTTTCATTTCAAAATGTTTTACAACATATCAGGACATAACAAAATGCTTCAAAATCAAAATTTGAATGGGTTCTTCAACTATGAGAAAAAAATTAAAGTACCCAGGCTCCACTATCCCTATGCAGCTGGCCATCACCTATTTTATTAATTTTTATGTTGCTTTTGGCAGGTGTTTTTTATTTCCCACACAACTGATCGCGAAAAATAATTTCGATAATTGAATGTTTTTTTAATATTATATGAAACATACATCACGAAAACCACGTAATTAATTTTCGTCGCTCTGTCTATTGATCTGACCGCTCATGGGAGTTTTGGAAAGTACGTCGCAATGTTTTGCTGTTAGTATATTTAAACATGGAATGATAGCGAGATATCTACGATACGATTCTCTGCTCTCTCGATTACCAGTGTCAGTCTCACCAATGCATCAAGAGGCATATCAAGTCGTGAAGTATGTGGAAGGAACCACATCGCCAGATGGAAAAATGTTCAGACTAATTATATGGTCCTTTTAACAGACTTGATTCCCTGTTATACATGATTGTAGTTAAATTTTTCACATATGGTCTAATTTCTACCGAACATAATCTGTTATGCACTGATGGCAGCTGCATGGGAACTGCAGAGTCAATCTACTTGACGCCATTCTAATAGATAGAAATGTGGTTTGAAGTAATAAAAAATATAGGTTGAACCAAATGTCCAGATAAGGTTATTTTTTTAGAAAATTCAGTGTTTTCACTCATATTGTCTAGTCTATAGAACATATCTACTGAAATTTTATACCACCAAAGTATAATATTTTTTTTTACGTACAACACTAGGATAGAAGAAATGGAACAACAAAAAAAATCTTCAATTAAACATAAGATTCACTAAGTTAGTTGATTATTCTGAAAATATGGAAAACTGACACAATACCTACAACAAATGCTTGCATTGAGGGATTTTTTGGGTATAAGCTGACAGGCAGAGGATCCCAATGAATGATTTCCTCTGCAATCCCCTAGTGTGAGCTAACAATAATTGTTTTCACTATCTAATTACCAAGCTCATACTTCTAACACCTTTGAAAAATCCATATATATTAGTAACTAGCTAGTGGAACAAAAAAGTGGACCATGTAGAACCACATGATACATGAAGGAGCCACATCAAAATTATATATGGCCATCTTTAAAAGAATTGTAAAACACACAAGAAATGAGGTTTACCAGAAGATTCTAGAAATTGGAAAACAGCAATCAGTTTTAACACTTCCAGAAAGTATTCAATCATCTGTTTAATTCTGTTCAGCTCTCTTTAGGTCAACAAAATATTTTTAGAACTATCATAGGAAAACAGCCCTGATTTTTTATATATATT